TTCAACGAGGGGGTGTTGTGCCCTCAGTCATTGTCGAGCAAGACTGGATGCAAGTGTGAGTTGCTTTCTAGGCCAGTTTCGGAGCCAGGCAAGACGGAACTTGTATCAAAGATCACGACCGAGCCTATGCTAAATTGAAGAGCTCCTAGTTGGCCTCCACTGTGACGAACACTCCTCAATGCTTGCGTTACAAAATTCCAGCTTGCTCTCGGCTGTTTGCGGAACAAAATTCCACTTGCTCTTGGCCTTTGCTTGCGAATTGTACGATGTCAGATATGTGCCAAAGCGAGAGGTAGGATAGACAGTAAGCATCTCTACCTCACTACATACGGGACGAGCCAAGACAAGACTACCCAGGGTGTTGTAACGAGTATACTTGATCACTTGGACCCTGCCTCTATTCCGGCCTCTGTTCCAGGTTATGAGAAGCATGGCACTTGAGACCCTTGGGAAGAGCATGCGAATATGAACGAAATGAAAGATCCCAGGAGATCTGCAGCTGGCAAGCCGCGGCTTTTAGAAAATCCGGAGGTAGCTACGAAGTCCCCCTCCCCCCCCCCCAAGGGGGGAGGTGATGAGATCTTGCACCCAGGTAGCAGTATCAAAAAACAAGACCATCGACAAGTGCAAATGGTCTCACGACGTGGCAGGATGCGCCACACCGACCACTTCCAGAGTGCAAATCAACCGTGAGTGAGCGCAATCGTTGCAAAGCGGTCGAGCCGCGGCAGGTTATACTTCCTTCCATGGTCTCACGAGTGGACCGGAGTTCAAGACAACATGCAAGCCCCATGAACTATGTGAAACGGTGAAACGCCGCTATTCCTAGTACTAGTTATCTGTACACTGTACCCAGCCTTGACCACCTCTTGGGAGGCAGCCAGGGGAGCTGGCTATCTACTCAGGTGCGATGGCAGAATTGGCATTTGGAGTGACAGCCCAGAGCCTCCCTACTGTTCCGTTAGTGAGCACTGAGCCGATTAGCCAAGCCAATCCGGGAGTCCCATCTCCCTGACCCTTTTGCAAGCTTTGCTACCGATGCGCGGCAGCGCTTAGATTGGCGTCGGCGCAGCATCTCATGAAGTCCTCCCACTCTTCTTTTACAGCATT